GTACCTTGAGGTACCCTGAGGTATCAGGGCGGAAGAGTGTGGCAGAGGGAGGTGACTCATGATGATCAGGAAGCACAGAGAGATTCCACTTGCCAGATGCAAAATATATATCCCAAAGGCAAATCCCTAGTGCCCACCTCCTCCAGCTACACCCTGCGTGCTTTCAGTTACCACTCAGTTAATCCCTATCAGGGGACTAATTGGGTTAAGGGTGTCATATTCCAATCATTTCACCTCTAAATTTTCTTGCATTGTCTCACCATAAGCTTTTGGGGGACATCTCATGTCTAAACCATAACATTATGCCCCAACCCCCAAAAGCTCATGCTTATCTCACAATGCAAAATACATTTAGTTTATTTCTAAGAGTCCCCGTAGTCTCAACAGTTCAAGCATTGCCCAAAAGTTCAAGTCTAAAGTTTCCTTTGAGGGCTGAGGATGTGGCTCAAGCGATAGCGTGCTCGCCTGGCATGCATGTTGCCCGGGTTGGATCCTCAGCACCACATACAAAGATGTTGTGTCCGCTGAATAACTAAAAAATAAATATTTAAAAAAAATAATAAAGTTTCCTTTGAGACTCAAGGTAAACTCAAATTGTGAGCTCCTATAAAAACCAAAAGCAGTTTACAAGTATCTAACATAAAAAGATCCAGAGTAAACATTTCCATTCAGAAAAATGGTGGCATATAAAGAAGGGATGGGACCAAAGCAAGACCGAAATCCAGCTGGGCAAACAAGTTTTGTAGTTCTGTGTCTGGCATCTGGAACATATCGCATTGTGATGTTCTCTCCAAAGGACTTGTATAGCTTTGCCTCTGTATCCTTACTGGTTGCAGTCCACACAGCCTCTCTGTTGGCTTGCCTCTGCTCAATTTCTGCAGCTTTTCTCAGCTGATGTCCCATATTACTAGAATTTCTTAATCTTGGAAGGTCTTCACTGCAGCTTTGGCTTCCTCTTCACATCTCCATCCATGGCCCTCTCAGGGGCTGCCCACAGGGTCTCCAACCCTGAGGCACTTTGCTTGGCCTCCTAGGCATTCCTTTGAAATCTTGGTGGCAGCCTCCATGACTCCTTAACTCCAGCATTCTACATTCCTGCAGAATCAGCACCACTATTGATGCCAAGGTCTGCTGCCGTCTCAAGCAGCAGACAAGCTTCCAGGGACCCTGGCTGTAGCAGCTTCTGAGTGCCTGGGTGGCTGAGCACATTGAAAAAACTTCCTAGGCCTCTTTGTGCAAGAAGGAATCTGAGTGTGGTCTTGCCAATTCCTGAGATGTCTTCAAGCCATTTTCCTTATGTCTCTGGGCAAAGTCTTTAGCATTCTTTTTAGTGGTTCTAATGTCTTTAAGAAGTGCAACTTCCGGGGCTGGGGATGTGGCTCAAGCAGTAGCGTGCTTGCCTGGCATGTGTGCGGCCCAGGTTCGATCCTCAGCACCACATACAAAGATGTTGTGTACCCCGAAAACTAAAAAATAAATATTAAAAAAAATTCTCTCTCTCTCTCTCTCTCTCTGTCTCTCTCACTCTTTCTTTAAAAAAAAAAAAAAAAGAAGTGCAACTTCCTTCACCCCTGTCTTATTCCCACCTTTCAAGTTCATATCAAATAAACTTGGGTAAAAGCCACCAGCAGTATCCATGCCACCTTCTGAATGCTATGCTGTCTAGAAATTTCTTCTGCCAGATCACCTTTCAATTCAGCCTCACAGAAAGTCTCAGGACAACTTCTTAGCCAGAATGGAACATGAATGGCCTCTAGTCCAAGTTCTAGTAGAGCCTCCTCCCCTGAAACTTCATGAGCCCTGTCTTTACTGTGCACAGACCTATCAGTATTCTGGTCTTCTGAACTCCCACCAGAATGGCCCATTAAGCTTCATTTATAACAACCTAAAGCATTTCCAGCTTTCACTGCTGGAACATCTCAATATTCCTCCTACAAATTCCAAATAACTCCAAAAGCTTCTGAACCACATGATAAGGTTAGTCACAGCAAAGACCCCAGGCACCAATTTCTGTTTTAGTCAGCTTTTTTTTTTTTTTGTTGCTGTGACTAAAATACCTGACAAGAACAATTTTAGAGGGGGAAAATTTTATTTTGGGGCTCATGGTTTCAGAGGTCTCAGTCCACAGACACCTGGCTCCATTCCTTGGGGCTTGAGATAAGGCAGAAAATATGGTGGAGGGAAGGGACTCACATGATGATCTGGAAGCAGAGAGAAAAGCTGGGTCTTTTTAAAATATATTTTAAAAATTTTTTAATTTGTTTTGATTTGTTATACATGACAGTAGAATGCATTTTTGCCCTTTGATAGATAAATGGGGTATAATTTCTCATTTTTCTGATTGTACATGCTGTAGAATCACATTGGTTATGCTGGGTCTTGATGCTAATTTTCTCTTTCTTTTCTTTTCTTTTTTTTTCTTGTAATAGGGATTGAACCAGAAGTGATCTACCACTGAGCTATATCTTCAGCTTTTTAAATTTTTTTATTTTGAGATAGGGTCTCACTGAGTTTCTCAGGTTGGTCTTGAACTTGTGATCTCCTGCCTTAGCCACTTGTGTTTCTGGGATTACAGCATGTACCCAGCTTAATGCTAGTTTTCTGATTCTAAGTTCAAGGTCCTTTTTATGTCCTCAAATGATATTGGCAGGGCTCCTTATTCCAGTCTTTGCAAACAGAAGATACACAGAAAGGAGGTGCCGGACAGGGAAGTCTGCTCTGTTAAGAGTGTCCCAGCAACTTTAGAAGAACTGGAGCCCCGTGCTTCTCATATTTAGGGGTCAAGAGAATATCCTAGAACCAGATGGAGTTGGATTTACAATTAAGCCCATGACATAAGTAAAAGTCTTCTGATGTGATGTTGTACAGAAATTGGAAGAAAAATGGAAATTTGGGAAAGAATCTTTTGGATGTAATTCTTGCTGGAAATTGTACTCTGCTTTCAACTATATCTTCCAGTCCCACTGTCTTACATACTCCATCTTTTCCCCCATGTTTTCATCTACCTCCCACCCTAATCTTGATGTTAGTTGTCCATGGTCCACAGCTTCAGTAATGCCTTTCCCAGGTCTTAGAAGTCCTTGCTTCCCTGACACTGTGCTGTCTCTGCTATGCCAGTTGCCATTCCTAAATTCTCTTTCCTGGTGGCTTTCATTGTCTCAGGAAAATGTGCTGTGCCATTTGCAGGCATTTCTCACAATCTCACTTGAGTTGAGCTCTCTTTGCCTCTCAGTGTTCTCCTGTGCTGCCTTCTAAGCATTCTATTTCATAGTGTAACTGCTTTCACATTTCCTAAAGCTTGTCTTTTTCTTAGGCTCAAGACCAATGACTTCACATTAGGACTTGTGCTCTCTAATATTTTCCCCTTCCTTTCTATTACCAGACTTCCATCATTCAGTCTTATACTTTGGAAGTACTTGACATTTTTTCCCTTGCTTCACAAGTAATATACGAGCATGGTAGAATTCCAGCCCCTCCCCTGCCCCTTTTTTTCTGCAATACTAAGGATGAAACCAAGGCCTTTTGTTTGCTAGGCAAGTGCATTATCCCTGAGCTACATTTCTAGTTCAGAATCACCTAAAATGAGGTAGCAGTTCAGGCCTATAATCCCAGTGACTCAGGAGGCTAGGGCAAGATCTCAAGTTTGAGCCAGCCTCTGCAATTTAATGAGACCATGTCTCAAAAGAAAATTTAAAAAGCGCTGGAGATGTATCTCAGTCATAAAGTGCTAAAGTGCCCTGGGTTCATTCCATAATACCACAATAAATTAAAATAAATAAATAAATATGTAAATAAACACGAAATTCTTCATCTTAGTGTTAACCACCATTAAGAATTTGATCTATATTTATCCAGATTGTTTTTCCACCGTGCATGCTAACAGATGTGTGTGTAAAAAGAAAAGTAATTCCTTTTTTTGGAAATGGGATCATAATATATCTACTTTCTGTAACTTGCTCTTATTCACTTAATGCTTTTATCTTGGGCTTTTTTTCATGTTTAGAATGTACATATCTATGCTATCTTTTAATAGTTATATAATATTACATTGTATATTGGTATCAACTTTTCTAGTCCACTAGTGACAGACATTTGTTTCTATTTCTTTGCAGTTACAAGCATCTTTGTACAATTGTCTTTGTATAAATATTTATATACTTTGTATACTTGTGGGATAGATTTTCCCCTACAAGTGGGATTTTTGTGTTAAAGGTTATACATGTTTCAAAGGTTACATCAATTTATATTTCTTGCATGCTTCGAGGGTGTGATGGTACATGCTTGTAATTCCAGCAATTTAGCAAATTAGTGAGACCCTCAGCACTTTAGCAAGACCCTGTCTCAAAATAAAACATGAAAAGGACTAGGGATGTAGTGCAGTAGAAAAGTGCCCTTGGATTCAATTCCCAATACCAAAGCGGGGGGTGGGGGTGGGGGTGGAGAGGGTGAGGGGGAAGAAATAAAGAAAAAAAATTTCTTCTATACCACTGAACAGCATCAATATTTTTAAAAGTCTTTGCAAGTTTGAAGCTTAGATAGCTAGTTTTTACATTTCCTTATAGAGGAAAATGGACATCTTTTCATGAGTTTGTTTCATATGTATACCCTCTTCATGTCCTTTGCTAAGTTTTGCTGGACTAACATATTTGTGTTGATTCATGAGAGTTCTTGCCTATTAGGGGAGAGTTTAACTCTTCAATAATAATAATAATATTATTATTATTATTATTATTATTATTATTATTATTATAGCAGCTGTCATATTGTATAATTATTCCCAGGCACAAGTCTTTTACTTGTGTCAACTCTTGTTTTTTTTTTTTTTTTTTTTTTTTTAAAGAGAGAGAGAGAGAATTTTTAATATTTATTTTTTAGTTTTCGGAGGACACAACATCTTTGTTTGTATGTGGTGCTGAGGATCGAACCCGGGCCGCACGTATGCCAGGCGAGGGCGGTACTGCTTGAGCCACATCCCCAGCCCCTTGTGTCAACTCTTAACAGCTTTTTCAACAACTCTAAGAAGTATACTGTTTACTTTCCTCCACACTGTATTAACATACTTTAAAATGGAGTCCCAGATATAGAAAGAACATACTGCTAATGCTAAATCCAGCTCACTTCAGCTGAACGCCAGTGGGGGGCTTCTTGCCTTGGCTTTTGTAATGTTTATAGACATCTCCATCTTTTTTTTTTTTTAATAGTTGTAGATGGACAGAATGCCTTTATTTGTTTTTTATTTTCATGTGGTGCTGAGGATTGAACCCAATGCCTCACACATGTTAGGCAAGTGCTCTGCCACTGAACTACAGCCCCAGCCCCGGCATCTCCATCTTGTAATCCTTTGAGAAAGGGCATTAAAGCAATATACTGTTGAGCTAACAAATATATTCAGATGTGTTGCAAACATGTTTTTAAAAGTTTACTATTTTTTATTTTAACTGACAAATAATAATCATTTATGGGGTACAATGTGATATTTCAATACATGTTTACAGTGTATAATGATCAGATCAGGATGACTGGCATATCCATCACCCAGGTTATTTTGAAGGGTACTTTTATTGTCAGCCTATTTGCCAGTGAGGAAACTAGAACCTGAAGAATAAAAGCCTTGCCCCAGGCCACACAGTTGACCAGTGACAAGCTGGGATTAAAGTCCTATGATTGAATGTCAGAGTCCGACCCTTTCATTGTTATATTACACAATCCCTCATACAGTCCAGTTTCAGAATTGTACTTTTGTTTTTAATCCTCCCAGAAGAGGTGAACTTCTTTTCTTTCTTTATTTTTTGTTCTTCAAGCAAGCACCTAATTGGCTTCTACCTACTGCTGTTTTTTCCAGTATCTTTCTATGTTCCCTCCTACTCTCTCTCCCTTTCTACTTTCTTTCTTTTTTTTAATACCGGGGATTGAACCCAGAGGCCTCTACCACTGATCCTGAGCCAATTCCTTTTGATTTTGAGATAAGATCTCAAAAAATTGCTAATGTTAGCCTGGAACTTGCAATCCTTCTGCCTCAGCCCCCAAATTGCTGGGATTACAGACGTGCTCGTCACCATGCCTGACTTCTATTTTGTTTTACCTATGTAAAAGGAAGAACACAGTAACTTTGGTTGGCCCTGTGCCTCTCATACTCCCTTTGCTTGCTCTTTCTTATCCTCGCCTCTTTTTTTCTCAAGTATAAGTTTTAGTGCCATTTCCTCACCACCTGCTCAATCTGTGCCTCTTAGTCCTTTGTTGTCTGGCTCTTGGCCCCTTCACTTCTTCTGAACAATATCTTTGAGGTGAGTTCCTGGTTGTCTGGACCAAATATATTTTTTTTTCTTTATTTTCAGTGCTGGGGATTGAAGCCAGGGACTCACATATGGTAAGTACATGCTCTCCTAAAGCTATATCGCTAGCTTAACCTGAACGATTCTTTTCTTGTATTTGTTCTACCTCGTTCTGACTAATTCCCTCCTCCTCACCATACATGCTGGAAGAAAAACTCCACATGAGTGAATTTTTTTTTTTTTAATTGTAGATGGACCCAATACCTTTATTTTATTTGTTTATTTTTTAATGTAGTGCCAGGGATTAAACCCATTGCCTCATGCATGCCAGGCAAGGTCTCTACCACTGAGCCACAACCCTGGCCCCCATGAGTGGACCTTTTATTATGGGAAATTTCAAACATACAACCACAGAGAGTATAGTATAATGTTTGTTTCTTTTTTATTAAAATATATTTATTTTTTAGTGGCAGTTGGACATACCTTTATTTATTTATTTTTTAATATTTATTTTTTAGTTTTCGGTGGACACAACATCTTTATTTTATTTTTATGTGGTGCTAAGGATTGAACCCAGTGCCCCGCGCATGCCAGGCGAGCACCCCACTGCTTGAGTCATTTATTTTTATGTGGTGCTGAGGATACAACCCATGTCCTTGAATGTGCTAGACAAGAGCTCTACCACTGAGTCACAACCTCAGCCCATGTTTGTTTCTTTTTGCAGAACTGGGGATTGAACTTAGGGCCTGATGCATGCTAGGCAAGCTCTCTACCACTGAGCTACATCCCCCAGCACCAAGAGTATAAATAATATATTGAACCCTCCTGTCACATTTCTCATGACTAAAACACTCAGGGTCACTCCAGGTGAACTGGGCTGCACAAAATAATCACACAAGGGACAGAGATACCTTTTTCTTTGGGTTCTGTGACGGGTCCTGTGACGGCTCCTCTGACTAGAGAGAGAGAGAAAGAGCCTGTGCATGTGCTGAACCCTTTTATTGAAGAGAAGCCATTCAGATGAGGTCCTTGCCTCATTTCAGGGGGTTGAATCTAGCTTTGTGATATCAGCTGTCATCAGATTGACTGAATCTAGGAAGGCCACACCCAAAGGTAGAGCAAGAGAAGGGGACACACAAAGGGAGTTTCCATGGAACATTCTAGCCCAAACAGGGCAAAGGGGTAGGATTATAAAAGAATAGGTGAGTATAGCTCAACCCTAGGGGTATGCCTACTCAGAAGACTGACCTTGCTATCCCAGAGGGGGCGGGGGAGGGGGGTGTGGGGAGTCACTACCATGCCAGACTACAGTGATCTTTCAGATCCCTGTGGTGCTTTAGGACTGGAAGGCAAGGTAACTCAATGTGGTTCTACACACCCTCCTGCACCCCTCATCTAATTATCAACATAATTTCAACAATTGTCATCACTTCCTCAATTTTCTTACAATGTATTCCCCACTCTTTTGTTGTCATATTTTAAAGCTAAAATCCCAGATATTGCCACTGTTTGTTTCTAACTAATATAATAACATTTTACATTTTAAACATCATTATCATGTTATTTTATCTGCAAATTAATGGTATTCTCTTAATAGAGAAGACTTGATTTTAAGCCTGGCTGGGCTCCTTCCTGTTCAAATTGTGCAATTTATGACCTTTTTTCTTATCATGAAATGTGGTGAGGATAATGGTTAAAATTCTACCTCAGAGGGTTGTTGTGAAGTTATTGTATTTATTCCCACATTACATATCCAGCTAGCACAGAGCTCAAATATATATATATATAATTTTTTTTTTTTTTTTTTGGTACTAGGGTTGAACTCAGGGGCATTTAACCACTGAGCCACATTCCCAACCTTATTTTTTTAAAATTAATTAATTAATTAATTTTACAGTATAATGCATTTTGACATGTAGTACACAAATGAAGCATAACTTCTCCTTCCTCTGGTTGTACATTTTCAGGGCCATTCCACTAGTGTCCTGTTTTGTAGTTTCTATTTAGAGACAGAGTCTCATTGAATTGCTTAGGGCCTTGCTAAGTTTTGAGGCTGGCTTTGAACTCACCATCCTCCTGCCTCAGCCTCTTGATCTGGGATTACAGACAGGCATGCACCATCACGCCCAACTTTGTCTTTTCTTGTTCTTCAATTATATATTTATTTAGCAAATATTTATTGAGTACCTGTGTGTTAGCTGAAAAGGATATGCTAACTTTGGCTTCTAGAATCCTATACTCTGTTTTTGATTCTTTGCTTGCCTCTCAGATGTGTTCCCTCCTCTAAACCCCTGTGCTTGGGATTGAACTGAGGGCCTTTGCATGCTAGGCAAACACTCTACCATTGAGCTACCTCCCCAGCCCCTCAGATATGCCTTTAATGTTTTTGGTACCAGGAATTGAATCCAGGGATGCTTAACTATGGAGCCACATCCCCAGGCACCTGCTTTTCTTTATTTTGAGACAGGGTCTTGCTAAGTTGTTGAGTCTGGCTTTGAACTTCCAATCCTTCTGCCTCAGCCTCCCAAGTTGCTGATGTTACAGGTGTGTGCTACTATGCCAGTCTAGATATAGTTTTAAAAAATACATCTGCCATAGGTGTGGACATAACCCAGGTTTATGTTTTCCTCTTATATACCCTCTGTAAGTCTGGCCCTTGGAGATTTAGCTCTTCCACCCCCTCATCTTATCCCAGTGACTCAGTTCTGTAACTCTAAGTCTGGTTTCTTCACCAAGCTACAAACCCATTCTCATCCTGGTTTTTTGGGCAAATGTTAAGTACTATGAACTGAGTCTATAGACCAGAGATGCAACTTAACCTCAGACAATAAATTCATAACTTGTGCAAATCAGTCACCTTTCTTGATCTTGGTGTTCTCAGTCAGAAAGATGGAAGGACTGGACTAGAGACTGAAGCCCTATCCACCTTTAAAAGCTTGTCAGCTATGAGAAGGTGGTTTCAGAAATGTTCTCTACTTAGCATATCAGGAGTCACATCCATCATCCTGCCCGCAAATACGGTTGCTAACTTCCCTAACCTGTTCTCTCCTGGAAAATACAGGCTTCAAAACCTTATGGCCCTTCCCTCTTTTTGTCCTCAACCTTAGGGTTAGTTACTTTATAGTTCTTAAGTTAATCCTGATTCCTAGCTCTTCCCAGAATACTTTTGCCTTTTTTCAGCTGTGCATCTGCCTTCATGTGGTTTCCTTGCCTGTACTCACTTTGTTTTTCCTGACTCTGTGTTCTAGCTCACATATGCCTTCTCCCTTCTGACAGTCATGACTGGCAAAGAAACAGTGCATCAGTGGCATTCCACAATGTGCTTGGAACTTCAGATATTTGTGTGCCTAAATTTTAATTTTTAAATTAAAACAATTTTTTTTTTTTTTTTTTGTAGTACTGGGGATTGAACCCAGGACCTTGCACATGCCAGCAGATATTCTACTACTGAGCTACATCCCCAGCCCTTTTTATTTTGAGACAAGTGAGACAAGGTCTCACTATGGTGCCCAGGCTGGGCTTGAATATGTAGTTCTCCTTCCTTAGCCTTCTCCGTCACTGGGAATACATTTGTACACCATGCTGGGCTTGTGTTCTTGAATTTTTTTCATCTTCAAGATTGTAATCTCCTCATACAGGCACCACGTTTTCTTACATTGTATATAATTATTGCAGTAGATTTGCAGTAAATACTGACTTAATGTGTGAACTAAAGCAGACTTTAAGTAAAGAACATTTATGCAAATGTTTAGAAACACAATGTCCTAAGAATATGGTATTTTTGTAGTGAGGAATGAAGGCCTACTTTATGAAATGGTACCATGGTACTAACTTGGGTGTTCATTCCTTGATCTCATAATTCAAGAAATCCTTTTTTCCTGGCTTGTCTTGGAATTGGGACATTTTCTGACTCTTTTGATAATATGATTTAGCCTCTTTAAAGCGTAGCTGGTTTGTTGTCAAGGGACAGTGAAAGGTAATTTTCAACATTTATTGCAAGCTAATTTATTATGTACTAGACACTGTGCTAAGTGCTTTCTTTTCTTTTACTTTATATTTAAAATAATCAGATGAGATTATTTTCATTTTCGTTTTATAAATGAAAGAACCAAGGTTTAGAGAAATTAATAACTTTTTTAGTGTCCTATACATAGAAAATGGCAATGCTGGTATTTTGACCCAGGTCATCTCATCTCAGAGCTACTCTTTTTTTTTAATATTTATTTTTTAGTTTTAGGTGGAAACAATATTTTATTTTTATGTGGTGTTGAGGATCGAACCCAGCACCCCTCGCATGCCAGGTGAGCGCGCCAACACTAGAGCCACATCCCCAGCCCTTAGAGCTGCTCTTACCTCATTGTACTATCTTCCTGTCCAAAACACATCTACTTTCAATTAGCCTATTTGTATAGCACTTATCTTTAAATAGCTTGTATGGCATTCTTTTTTCCAAAAAAACTAGCTGTTCCTCTATTCTTTCTAATTTTGGTGGAGGGCAAGCCACCATTTTTTTAGTCACTGAGATTTTAAGCCATGGAGTCATATTTAATTCCTCTTTTTCCTTTCACTGTTGACTTTTCCTGGGTAATACATTATACTTACTCTATTCTTTCTGGTTTCCTTGCCTTACTCTTAACCCATGCCCTCCAGGTCTAGCAGTTACGATAATTGATTTTTCCTTCCTCTTTTCTTATCTCTACAGTCCTTCTGAAAGGTTTGTCTTTTACTCATCTGTCTCCAATTAAAAATCCTTCCCTGGGGCTGGGGATGTGGCTCAAGCCTGGCATGTGCAGGGTGCTGGGTTCGATCCTCAGCACCACATAAAATAAAATAAAGGTGTCCACCGAAAACTGAAAAATAAATATTAAAAAATTCTTTAAATAAAAATCCTTCCGTGGTTCCTGTAACTGAGGTTGCACAAAGATAGTTTTTAAGTGTGTTAAAATTGCTTGGGAATTGTCTTTAAAACTACTGAAGTCCTCACAATAATATATGAGGGCCATGTTACTGTT